TCTAGACACATCTGAAGCAGAGTGCCCATCTTTCTAACCTTTCCTGCAAAGAATTCCACATTCTTTAATTGACACGTCAAAATGGTAGTTTTGACCTCCCCAAGGGACTCAAATCATGTTCCTTGTAAGCGTTCTACGAAACAAAAAGAAGTCTGAATGGAGGAAGATCAAAGCTGTAAGGTGGATGGGGTAAGATTTCCCAACAAAATTCTTACAGGACAGCCTCAAAAACGAGCAAATGCATTGTCCTTAATAGAATTTAAAAAAAAAAGAAAAGAAAAGAATCCTGGTGTGGCGCTAGGGAACAAAACATTGGCCCACAAGGTCGGTTTAAACCACAACATCGGCGGTTCAAACTCACCAGTCACTTCTTGGTCGGGTAGCAATGAATCAGAACCAGCTTGATGGCACTCAACAACAATAGAAAAAAATTTTCCTCAAGGCAATATCAATTTTATTAAAACTTCTTCTAATAAGCTTCCATGATTGTCCTGTGTCCTTTGAGAAAAACCTACCAAGCCCCTTGGGAATCCCAAAAGGTTAGGCATAAAACCTATTTCCTGTGTGGACCTCCCTGCTTTGAATGGAACTGGCCCAGTGATCCCTGCAGAAGCTGCTGTCTCTGAAGACTAACACAGTGTGTTACCGAGAGAAAGTCTTGGTGACATTGGGCTGCTAACCACAAAGTCAGCAGTTCGAGTCCACCAGGCACTCCTCGGGAGAAAGATAAGGCTTTCTGTCTCCATAAAGATGTACAGCCTCAAAAACCCAATAAGGGGTCATTATGAGTCAGGATTGACTCCACAGCAGGCACGCTACTACCACCATTACTGAACAAACTTGTCTGCAGCCATCCACTGACTGCAGAAACGTGTCTACAACACGTTTTGTTTGGAATAAACTGGTGCACGTATGAATTGGAACCCTAGTAGCAATACTTTTTGACTCACCCGCGTATTTGAAGTGACAGCATTCTAGAACCGGAAGACGGGATATGGTTATCTGGGAAGGGTGTGGGTGTGGTTATAAAGATTAACACAGGGATCTTTGCTGTGTTGGAGTTATCTCTTAATTTGACTGGGAAATGTTCTCAGTTATCGACATATGTGATAATGTTGAATAAAACTGAGTAATTCAGTCCTGGTGTGGCGTTGAAGGGTAGGCGCAGGACTATAAGGTTGACTGCATCTAAAACCAGGGAAATCCCCACAGACATGTGAATAAGATCTGGGGGTTGCATAACAGGAGGAACTGAGCAAAGGGTATAAAGGAGACATCTGGAATGTTTCTTTTTTACAAACGAGGCAATTTATTCACCCCGCATCATTTGTTCTAATGTTTCTTGTTGGCAGCTGCCACCTGTCCGGGCGATTCTGTCCAGATCTCTCTGTCCCTGAGGTGTCAGTTTGCGGCTGCCATCTTGGTCCTTCTCCACCATTTTGAGCCCCTCTAGGGCTTGGAGGACCCGGCAGGCCACATACTTGGTACCTCAGCTGAAGTGGCTGGACATGATGCCTTTTATCTGCCACCCCCCGTAGATCTTGGTCATGGAACTGACCCCAGCTCCACCCCGAAGGTCCAAGTGCCATGCTGTGGACGCAGCTCGTGCATAGAACCAGTTCTCATCATAGGGAGCACGTTCTTTATGCTTGGCCAGCTTGACAGTGTCTACCCATTCAGGGACTTTTAGCTTCCCAGAACTTTCTCTTTTTTTTCAATGTTTTATTGTGAATTACATGATAGTTTACATGGGGGAACTTTAGTTTTACATTCATTCCATCGTATATCATCTCATTGCCATGGTTCCAATCCCCTCCATGCATCATCAACCAACCAAAGGGTATATCCCAGAAACCCGCCCCCTACACTTCCCCCTCCTCCCCCCAGTTTTTGGCCCACAGTCCCTGTCCCTCTCTGGGTCCAAAGTCCCCAGTCACTTCATCACTCCGCGTCATCATCTCTGCCTCCATCTCAGGCATCTCTGTTTCTCTGGGTAGGGTCCCGCTCTCGGCTCTTCTCCATTGATGGTCCCAGAGGTCTCCGCTCCTATCCTGGAGATTTAATCACTCCCTTCCTTGTTACAAAACTTCTACCTTTGCATTTCCAACCCTCATAATCCGTCCTGATAAGCATTATTCACTACACTATCACGAGTTACCCATCTGTATCTCCTTTCATCAGTTCCGCCCAGACGGATTGAATAGTACCCACTGGAGATTCTGCCTTCCACCATGCTCCCTAGCACTAGGTTCCCTCTTGAAAGCTTGTAAGCCAGTCACTTCTTGCCTTTGTAGTCCCCCCTCTCCATTTGAGTATCCAATGTCCAAGCTGCCCTTCTCTGTCCACTCTGGGGGGGGGGGGCTGTGAATGTTTGTTCCCTCTTTTGAGTTGCTACTCCATAAGTATAGGTCAAGTTCATCAGACTGTATCAGCTCACTCTTTTTTTTCCCCTCTTCTTTCCTCTCCTGGTTGAGCTCCAATCATCCAGTTATACGATCCAGGTCACATGGATATCATTTGCAAGTGTGGGCGCTCCTGTGCATATGTCCTCTCTTCCCGTTAGCCGGCAGCTCCACTCTCCTCTCGAGTCCTCCAAGGCCACGCCACTGACTCTGGGCCCAAGAGTCCCCAGGTCTCTTCACAATGCTTGCCAGCCGGGTCCCCAACTGGGTCCACAGAAGTCCACTGAACATTGTAGGGCTTAGCTTGCCGCTTCATTGCTGCTTTTACCCACTTCCACCCATCGGTGATGTGTTTGGTCACCAATCAGAGCATGCGTTTCCATTGAGTCTTAGTCTTGGAAGGGGGTTTGCATTGAGAGGACCTGGCCACTTGCCTTGATGTTTCCTAGGGAAGCAATTTGTTTGTTCTTGTAGTAACAGCCCATCTGCCTCCATTTTTCCTGCAGGTCTTTCTTTCAAGAGGTATCCTTTATTCTTCTAGCCACTCCAGGCTGGTCTGCTCATCCTTTCAAGTGGAGATTTCTCATCTCTGAAGATCTGGATGTGGTTCCAGTTTCTACCTATAATTTTATGTATTGCAAAGACTCTGCAAGAAGCCTCGTTCACTGGGTACGCTGTAGCCCCATTTTAGGTATTCCAATCAGTCATAGGCAGAAGACGGACTTACAAGCCTTCTAGTGTGGTGTTTCTGACTATTCCTTTCTCTCCCTCTCCAGTGTCTACTCTGTCTGCCCGGCCCGGGAAGCGCCGTCTTTTCTCCTTCCCAGACCTTTTGAGGAAGGCTGCGAGGACTCTGAAGAACTCCTGTTGTTTCACGTCTTTTACAGTAACTCCAGGCACTGTGCGGCCTCCGCGCTGCCAGCCAGGGGACAGGGCATCTGTAATGTTTCTTACAATGACAGTTTCAAAGAAGTGTGTTCAGAACCGTTAATCTATGGCCTGGTAACAAAGAACCAGCTCCACTGAAGTTGGTGAGAGCCAGAACTCCACAGGACAGCCTGGTTTTTCCGGGTCTGGCAAGTTTGCTGCCTTTGACAGGGTGAACAGTCTTAGCACCTTTCGGTCGCTCTCTGAATGGAAAATGTCACAGTTGTTCTTCTCAGACTGGCTTTTGAAGGTGTTCCTGTCATTAATTAGGAACCTGCCTGGCAGTTCGTCCCCTCTGAACTTTACCCAAGCATTCCGCTAACTCATCAAGATGCCGGTGGCAGCCAGAGATATGGGGGCCACTAGCAAGGCGGGGCTTTCTCGGGAGGCGATCCTTTCTCTGAGGTCTGAGGTAGGCAGCAGCAGTGTGGTAGGAGGGCCAGGAAGACCCGAGGGCATGCTGGGAGTAGCTAGAGCTCAGGTGGTATGGTAGATTTCAGTGGGCAGGGTTTGGAGGAATGCTTCTGGATCCAGCCTGGGTGTCTAGGAAGGTTTTAGCTCGTTAACAGATGGAATAGCCTACAGGAGGAGAGACTTAGCCTTGGGCTCCACCTGAGGGCCCAGGCCTGCCGGACCCCTAGAGTCAATTCCACTGAGTGGAACACTACCCTAAACCACAGCGTTCCTGAGGCTAACCACCTCATCTTTCTCCTATGGAGTGGCTGGTGGGTTCAAACCACTGACCCTTTGGTTAGTAGCCAAGCACTTAACCACTACCACCAAGACTGCAAACACAAGACCAAAAAACCAAACCCTTTGCAGTTGCATCTAGAAACACCCCTATAGGGTCTAGAAGACCTGCTCTAAAGGGTTTCCAAGGCTTTAAACGCTTGACCTCAAGATCGGTTTGAACTGCAAGGTCAGCGGTTCAAACTCACAAGCGACTCCTCAGAAACCCTATACAGGGTCGCTATGAGTTGGAACCGATTCCATGGTGCTTAACAACAACAATAAATCTTTATGGCAGCAGGCTGCCTCATGTGGCGTACACCAGCCCCATCGTCTTCCACAGAAAAGGAACTAAGTTACTGGGTGGGCCCTCCAGTCCAGCCCCTGCCCTACCAGGCCACGTGAAGCTTGGTGAGCAGTCGAGTAGATAGTAGGGTAGGCCAGGACATCTGCTTCCCATGCCTCCTGGGCTCAGGGCCTCAGGGAGCCAACCCAGCACCCTCAGCCCACATAGCATACCTTGCACCCATCCTGCCCGCAGCAGGCACCAGGGAAATCTGAGTAGATAAGGTGAATGAGGAGACCACACATCCCAGAATCCAACCTCACTCCCGTGTACCCAACAAACCCCTGCCCAGCCACACCACACCATGGCTACAAGGCTCAGCTGGACCTCCCCAAAGCTTCTACATTACCCCCAAGAGATTCTGGACCCACCTTGTGAGGTTTGGCTCTGCCTTTTTTAGGAGCCACAGCCCAGGTCAGTTCAGCCCTGGGGCAGAAGGTCACAGGGTAGGGGCGGGGACAGGATGACTGGGACACTGGGAGTGACATGGAGCCTTTAACAGCCAGGGCCAAAGTTCTCCCTTCACAGGAACCGAGACGCTGGTACCGCTGTCTCGGAGAATCCGAGTCTCTGGGACCCACCACCCCTCAACAAACATGCAGGGCACTTGGATGCCACTGCTGCTGCTGGTCCTGAAACTTCAACTCGTACTTGGCATCATCCCAGGTAAAAAGACCCCCAACCCACCCCAGTAAACAGAGCTCTGCCCCAGGCTGACCCGGCCTCTGCTCTCCCCTTGACCAGCTGAGGAGGAAGATCCAGCCTTCTGGAACCGGCAGGCAGTCCAGGCCCTGAATGCCGCCAAGAACCTGCAGCCAATCCACACAGCCGCCAAGAACCTCATTCTCTTCCTGGGGGACGGTAAGTGCAAGGTCTGCCCACCTGAAACCCCCACGGCCCTGGCACCCCAAGCCGACAGAGGCCCTGGGGGCTCAAGTTTGACAGCTCTTGCTCCTTCAGGCATGGGGCTGCCCACGGTGACAGCCACTCGGATTCTAAAAGGGCAACTGAATGGCAAGCTGGGACCTGAGACACCCCTGGCCATGGACCACTTCCCGTACGTGGCTCTGTCCAAGGTAAGGACAGGCAGGAGGCCCCAGAGCATGGGCTGGGCTTGAATTAGAGGCTGGAGGATAAGGGGGATGGGCATGGGTCCAGGAGTCTGGGTCATAGTCTATGTCTCAGAGCTTGAGCTGAAGGCACCTCTGTCCCCAGACATACAACGTGGACAGGCAGGTACCAGACAGTGCAGGCACAGCTACAGCCTACCTGTGTGGGGTCAAAGGTAACTACGAGACCATCGGCCTGAATGCAGCTGCCCGCTTAAACCAATGCAACACGACCCATGGCAACGAGGTCATCTCTGTGCTAAGCCGGGCCAAGAAAGCAGGTGTGTTGAGAGGAATGGTTTACAGGGACAGGGGTACCCTTGGAGCCTGTTGCCTGCTCTGACCTCTGCTACCCTCAGGAAAGTCTGTGGGAGTGGTGACCACCACCCGGGTGCAGCATGCCTCACCGGCTGGCACATACGCACACGTGGCAAACCGGGACTGGTACTCCGATGCCGACATGCCTGCCGAGGCGCTGAATGAGGGTTGCCAGGACATTGCTTCTCAGCTCATCTCCAACACTGAGATTGACGTGAGGACATGTGGGCAGACGGGGTGACAGTCAGCAGCCTGAGCTTTGGGCCTGATGGAAGGCTTGAGACAGCTGGGAACAAGCTACTCCCCAAGAGATCTGGGGATGAGGGAGGGTCAGACAGACTTCAAGCCCACCTTACCCCATTCTCTAATTCATTCTAGGTGATCCTGGGCGGAGGCCGCAAGTACATGTTCCCCAAGGGAATCGCAGACCCTGAGTACCCACACTTGAATGGAGTCAGGCTGGATGGCCGGAACCTGGTCCAGGAGTGGTTAGACAAGTACCAGGTAACAAGACCAGCGGGGATGTGGCAGGGAGGATTGGGGGTCTCAGGGCTGGAGGCTGAGACTGGGCCTGTCCTTCCAGGGTGCCCGCTACGTGTGGAATCGCACAGCACTCATCCAGGCCTCCTCGGACCCCTCAGTGACACACCTCATGGGTAACGTTGCCACAGCCACCCTCCCCCACACCTTCCTACCCGTGACCAGCTGACCAACCCCCATGGCTGCCTTTCCCCACAGGCCTGTTTGAACCTGGAGACACAAAGTATGATGTAAATCGAGACCCCGCCCAGGACCCTTCTCTGCTGGAAATGACTGAGGCAGCCCTTCGCATGCTGAGCAGGAATCCCCAGGGCTTCTTCCTCTTCGTGGAAGGTGAGGAGGGGTTTGAGGGAGCAGCAGGCTGGGCGGCTCAGGGACAAACTGGAGGTCACCCATCTCCCCCTGGCCTGCCACAGGGGGCCGCATCGACCATGGTCACCACGATGGCACGGCATACTTGGCACTGACTGAAGCCGTCATGTTCGACACCACCATTGACAGGGTGGGACAGCTCACCAACGAAAAGGATACATTGACCATCGTCACCGCGGACCACTCCCACGTCTTCTCTTTTGGAGGCTACACAAAACGAGGGACCTCTATCTTTGGTATGTCCGGGCGATTGTCAGATATTCGTTAGTAAATCTCACTGGGCCTCAGTTTCTTCATCCACTTAAGGGGCACAGTAGTGGACCTGGCCTTGTAAGGCCCTTGTGAATAGGTAGGAAGCGCTGGCACACAGATGGACCCCAGCTGTGGTCAGTGCCATCCAAGGCCTCCACTTGTTCACTCAGGACTGGCAAACAGTAAGGCCGCGGACGGCAAGACCTACACCTCCATCCTGTATGGCAACGGGCCAGGTTACGTCGGCAACGTTTCCCGACCGGAAGTCACGGAAGACATTAGCAGTGAGTGGTGGGGACCGCGTGGGGTCGCCGGGGGTCGCAGGGAGGGAAGGTCGCTCTGACCTCTCGCACCTCCCGCCAGAGAGTCCCTCGTACATGCAGCAGACGGCAGTGCCCCTGAAGTCGGAGACGCACGGAGGCGAGGACGTGGCGGTGTTCGCGCGCGGCCCGCAGGCGCACCTGGTGCACGGCGTCCAGGAAGAGACCTTTGTGGCGCACATCTTGGCCTTCGCCGCCTGCCTCGAGCCCTACACAGACTGCGACCTGGAGCCGCCCGCCGGCACCACCCACCCCACAGCCCCGGTTCCCACCACGGCCGCCGCGCTCCCCACCCCGCCGCTCTCCTGGCTGCTGCTGGCGGGGGCGCTGCTGCTAAGGTTGTTCTTAGAGCCCGCCCCTTGACCGCCCACTGGCTTCTGTGCCCATCCCCATGTCGTCCAGTCTCCGCTTCCCCAAGGTCCTGTGCCCACATCCGGTGTCTCCACATCAGCCCCCACTTCCCCAGGGACCCCGGGTCCCAACGGCCTTCCAAGCCACCCCCAAAAAATGCCCCATTCAGCTGCTACCCCCGGTAGGCGGGTCTTCCAGGACCAAAGGGGTTAGGCGACAGGTTTAGTGGTAACATTCTTGCAACATCCATGGTCCCAACCCCCAGGGTTGCCCCAGAACTCCCTGCTCCCCCGTGCACAATGCAGTCCCGGGCTCCCCGGCAGAGGAAGCAGGCAAATACTGACCCAAGACACGGTCTGCCCAGAGTCCTCAGCGGTCTCGGGCCTTCTGTCCTAACCCTGCCCTCGGACTTCAGGGGCGTGGTTCCCTTCACCCAGCAACCTGCCGGAGCAGCGCACCTACCTGCTGCCCAAGAAACTGCGGGCTGTGCACCCCCAGGACCCCGGACAGGCCGGACACAAAATTCACAGCAGCTGGGGCCAATGGGAAAGTGTTATTTCTAAACGGATTTAAAACTCAAGGAGGAAAGGTTTAACAGATTGTTCAGCAATTTAGTGGCGTTGGTTGCACAATCGTGTGAATATTTAATAGCCATTAAAATGTATAGTCTCGAAGAGTGGCCTTTATGCCATGGTTTCTATATGTAAATAATTAAAACTTGCCACAGTTTATGTTTCCAAGTTGTTTTTTAAAAAAAATGTGTTCAGAGTGAGGTCCAATATTTTCAATCCTGGCCACAAAGAAGTCACGCCTCAATGGGAATATATCCAAACAAGTGTTTTCAAAAATGTTCTTTCCTTTGCATGAGTTTTCAGTCAAAAACAGTTACTTTTTCTCATTTTAAGTATTTTTTTATTATTAAAAATAATCTTTACCATGAAAGGTCCATGTGCAAGGAGAGCTGTCTAGTGAGTGTGTAAGACGACAACCCCTTACCACCTCAAAATGTTGGCACAATTGTTTTTAAGAAAGGGGTGGGTTGGGAAGTGAAGGGGAGACCCAAAGAGTGTGTGGGGGGCAGGGGGGGTGGTGCTCATGTCACTTGTATAGTCTGGAAAGTTTAAGGTATTCCTCATCACCAAGGATCATAAAGATCTGACTCCTCACAAAAGTCTAGGTTTTACAAAATTAATTACCTCACTGATAACCTCCACCACTTAGTCAGTTTGTCGTACTGTGGTGGTTTGTAAGCTACTGGACTGCTGAAAATGATCCAACAATATTTCAAATATCAGCAGGGTCACCCATGGTGAACGGATTTCAACTGAACTTACAGACTAAGACAGACTAGGAAGAAAAAGGAGTGGACCACTTCTGAATGAGTAGCTTCTGAAAGTCCTATGAACAAGAGCTGAACATTGTCAGCTAGAGTACAGGAAGAGGGGCCTCTCAGGTTGGAAGGCACTCAAAAATAACTGGTAACAGTTGCCTCCTGAAAGTAGAGTTGACCTTAATAACACGAATGAAACAAAGTTTTTGAGACCATCATTTGCTGATGGGACACAACACAAAATGGGAAGAAACAGCTGCAACTATCCATTAATAATGTTGCTGTTGTTAGGTACCATTGAGTCACCACTGACTCATAGCAACCCCTTGTACAATAGTATGAAACACTGCCCAGTAAAGGGCCAACCTCACAATCATTGCTACGTTTGAGCCCATGGTACTTCCACTGTGCCAATTCATCTTGCTGGTGGTCTTCCTCTTTTTCTCCCACCCATCTACATTTCCCCCCTCAATATACATCATTTGATTTCTTGACAGCTGCTTCCATGAGAGTTGATGGTTGATCCGAGAAAAATGAAGTCTTAGACAACGTCAATCTTTTCTCCATTGATATGGATGTTGTTTATTGGTCCAATGGTGAGAATTTTTGTTTTCTTTACATTGAGATGCAACCTGTACTGAAGGCTGTGGTCGTTGATCTTTATCAGTAAGTATTTTAAGTCCTCTTCACTTTAGGCAAGCAAGGTTTTATCATCTACATATCGCATGTTGTTAATGAGGCTTCCTCCAAACCTGATGCCACGTTTTTCTTCCTTTAATCCAGTTTCTCAGATTATTTGAATGCATACAGATTGAATGTTGTTGTAAAGTGTCATAGAGTTGGTTCCAACTCATAGCAATCCTATATAGGGTTTACAAGGAGCAGCTGGTGAACTTGAACTGCTGACTTTGAGGTTCAAACCAACTTTGCAGTCCAGCACATTAACCCGTAGTGCCATGACAGGACTCCACAGACTGAATAAGTATGGTGAAAGAATACAACCCTGGCACATATCTTTCCTAATTTTAAACCATTCTGTGTTCCCTGTTCTGTTCAAACAACTAACTGCCTCTTGGTCTATGAACAGATTCCTCTGTGCGTAGCATAATTAAGTGTTCCAGAATGCTCATATTTCAGAATGTTGCCCATAGCTTGTCATGATCCACACAATCAGAAGCCTTTGCATAGTCAATAAAGCACAAGTAAACATCTTTCTGGTATTGTCTGCTTTCAGCCAAGATCCATCTGATATCAGCAATGTTATCCCTCATTCCAAGTCTTCTTCTGAAACCAGCTTGAACCTCTGGAAGTTTTCTGTCAATGTATGCTTGCAGCCATTTTTGCACTGTATTTAATAAAACTCTACTTACATGGGATATCGATGATATTGTCTGATGATTTCCACATTCAGCTGGGTCACCTGTCTTTGGAATGGACACAAATACAGTTCTCTTCCAGTCAGTTGGCCAGCTAGTTGTCTTCCAAATTTCTTGGCAGAAATGAGTGAATGTCTCCAGTGTTTCATCAGTTTGTTGAAACATTTCAATTTGTATTCCATCAATTCCTGGTGCCTTGTTCTTTGTCATTGACTTCAGTGTACCTTGGACTTCTTCCTTCAGGATCATTGGTTCTGGTTCATATGCTACCTCTTGAAACGATTGGACATAGATAGCTTAATTTTGGTACAGAGACTCTGTATATTCTTTCCATCTTCTTTTGATGCTTTCTGCATCATTCAGTATCTGGCCCATAGAATCCTTCAAACCACAAGCCGAGGTTTGAATGTTTTCTTCAGTTCCCTCAGCTTGAGAAATACTGAGTATGTCCTTCCCTGTTGGTGTTGTAACTCTAGGTCTTTACACTTATTCAATTTGTATGCTGAGCAAATAATCTGAGAAATTGGATTATATGAAAAAGAACGTGGCATCAGGATTGGAGGAAGAATCATTTAACAACCTGTGATATGCAGATGACATAACTTTGCGTACTGGAATTGAAGAGGGCTTAAAACACTTACTGATGAAGGTTGGGGCTTGCTGGCAGATAGGGTAGAAGTGCAATGAGGATCTCCATCAGCAATAATACAGAATATAGGCTAAAGCAGGTTCAGGGAACAGTTCCAAAACTCTGAACCACATAGATAGGAATATTTTTTAAGTTTAAGGCTTAGAGCCAGTGGAATTTGTAGTGAAAGCAAGAAATCTCATATTTTCTAACCAGCCAGGCTCAGCAGCAGGGAGCCACCATTTTGGGCAAGACCAAGCAGCAGGACCAAGAGGGGGAAGGATCAGAGCTGCCACGAATTGACACCTGCCAAAACCTGGGAAATAAAGGTGTGGACTTTCTTTTTTTTTGTATCTGTTCACTGGCCTCTTGCTGTTGGTGCACGTCCATTCTGGTGACTAGAGGGGTGCCTGAGTGAGTAGACACCCCACCTCCAACCCCGGAGGGTTCTACTCTGCCTGCGCACAGATCCTCTCAGCATTTAAAGGGACACATTCCACATAAAACCAAATGGCAGCTCAAAACGGCCACAGAACTGTTTATCACTAGGAAAAGAGCCTAAATGGGAGTTGTGGAGTGAGACAGACAGACTAGAAACAAAACAGGCCTGAAAATTAAATCCTGACTTACAACCAACAGTGGCATCTTGAAATTTCTCAAGCAGCCTTGAAGGCAAGAAGCTGAAAGAAGATATTAAAGTCATACTCATAGTAGGCTACAGATTTTTTTTTTCTCTTCTCTCTTTTCTGTGTTTATAGACTACAGTATCTAATCTGTTTGTTTTTGCTGTTGCTGTTTTGTTTTCTGGTCCCCTCTTTACCTTTAAAGGGCTCTTTCTTTCCCTATATTACCCAAGAAGAGACAGCAATTGCTGTTATATAGTCAAGCTACAATCACACCTTATAAAACTCGACAATGAAGGCAAGAACCAATACCAACTGCCATACACCAGGGAGGCAGACAACACCTGTGCCAGTTACTTGGAGTTGAGTAATAAGAAGAGTGAAAAGGGAAGCCCATCTCCTGATCACAACTACCTGGAGGCAATTAGAAAGCATAAAAAATACCAAAACATACACTCAATTAAGTATTAAGGACACAGTTAACTACTGAACATGCCCAAGAAGCAGAAGCAGATGACCATGTCAACATATGTCCAGAAAATAAAGTAAATGAGACAAATGACTGGAGGTAGACCTACACTCCATACTGGAAGGAGGGCAGGCCTTGGAAATGCCTGAAAAGGAATTCAGAAAAATGATTATAAAATGTATCAAAATACTTCACAATGGAGTTGAGAAAAATAAGGAAGAAGTCAGGAAAGCACTACAGGAACAATCAAATAAGATAGATACAGCATTGAAAACAATTCAAAACCTACAAAAAGAGATCCAAATGATTAATAATAGAATCTCAGAAATGGATAATACATTGAAAGGGCAAAAGAGTAGAATTGAAGAGATGGAAGCCAGAACTAGTGTGCTGGAAGACAAATCTCTCAATACTAGATAGAAGAGCAAGTAGAAAAAATTCTGAAGAAGGTCTAAGATTCATGCTGGATAACATGAAGAGAAATAACTTAAGAATGATTGGCAGTCTAGAACAGGAAGAATCAACACAAATCCACAGAGGAGGTAATTGAAGAGATTCTGGAAGAAAATTTCCCTAACATCCTGAA